ACAAAAACCCACCCGGTTATTAAACCATATAAAAATTTTTTTTTGAAAGTTTTCAAACTTTGACCCGGCCGGGTTATTTATTAATTTTATATGGCCTTATTAAATCGGTACTTTAATTTTAAAGGTAGTGTATTACAGATACATCTCTCTAAATGCATCTCTATAAATGCACCTCTAAATTTGGTCTTAAAACATAGTACATATTAAGAAAATTGCTTTCATAAATGCATACCTCTCTAAATACACATTTTTGAAAATTTTTATATAGTCTTAAGAGCAGTACACTTAGAGAAGTTCTCTATATTAAAAAGAATTATTTTTAAAAAAGCTACTAATTATTTATAACTATTTTTTTGTAAAATAATACAGTATATATCTAAGAGATATTCTTTTAATTTTTCATTATTTAAAACCAAATACTTTTTATTATTTGATTTTTGAGTATTTTTCTATTTATAAGTTTGTAATAACTCACTAATAGCTTTTATAATAGTTTTACTAAAGTATTAAAATTTTTTACAAAATTATTATTATCAATTGTATGTTTTTTTTTTTTATAAAAATCTAATACTTTTTTGTATATTGGATATATATTTTTTAATTCGTGATCCATATATGAAAAATTATAATAAAAAGTGGGAGAAACGGGAATCTGGTACTGCTCGTGAAATAGGCTGCCTTTTTTTTACTAAGAAAACCTCCCTTGGCATCTAACAAAAACTTTAGAAACTGTCTCTCCAGTCCTAATGGAACCAAAATTGCTAAAATTGGCACAGTAGATCGCAATAAATCTACCCTTTAATGTTCGTGATCATATGTTTTTTCTTTGCAGATCTGCAAAGAAAATCATAAAATTGCAAAGATTCAAAAGCTTATTTCTTGTGATCTACTAGACCAATTTTAGCGATTTTGGCACCGTTATGACCAGAAAGACTGCACTACAATTTTTGCTAGAAGCCCAAGAGAAAGTTTACTTTGTAAAAAAAAAAAAACTGCTATTTCATGAACAGTGCTAGATTCCTGATTTTTAATATCCATTCACTGATTAATATATAGATCACGAATTAATATTCTTTTTAATTTATTTGAAATATTACTAGGGATTTTATTATTATTAAAAACAAGTAATGAACAATTTAAATATTTATATTTATAATGTTTTTTATTTATATTATTATAACTTTTCAGTTATTTGGATATTACCAAAGTGAATATACAGTATATATAATTAAAGTTTTTTATATTTTGTCGCAAAGCATCATTGATAACGACTACCAGGAATTGGAATAGCTTCATCACGGGGGTGGTTTTAAGTAAAAATATTAGGACTGGGTGAAACCTACACCAGCTAGTAAAACTCGGGTTTTAGAGTGAAATCTGAGTTTGTATTAGAGTTAGAGTGAAATCCGAGTTTTTTATTATACAAAAGCGGATTTCAACTCTCATGTGATTACGTAGCAGATTTCACTCCAAACCCCGAATTTTACCAGCTGGTGACTCAGGTTTCACCCTGTCGTAAAATATTTACGCCTCCAAAAACTCCTAATCCTAAATCTATCTTTAAGCCCTAACTCTAAAGTAAAAAAAATTTGTATACAAAAACTTATAAAAACTAATAAAAATCTAAAAAAAAAAAACATAATAGGTACAAAACCACTATAAGTGCGTTTTATAATAATAAATGTTTTTATCAAAAATAACTCATATCAGATATCGGGGAATTTGATAAATAGAAAAACCAATCTATCATAGCTCTGGTCAAATTTGAAGATCATTTCGCCAGATTTAAAATCAAACAAATTCAAACTTGGTCAAATGATCTGCAAATTTGACCAGAGCTATGACAGATTGGTTTTTTTCTATTTATCAAATTCCACAAATCGGCCGATATGTACAAATTACAATCTTTCAAACCTTTAATAATCTATATTCTTTAAATATTATTAGAGGATATAAAATACCAAATATAAAAGATACAAATACCAATTTAAAATTTAATTTATTAACAGTTAATTGTGACAAGTAAATTATAAATTTAATATATATATATATATATTTAGTAAAATCATTGCACTTTCTCTTTGGTCTCGACGTCTTTTGTATCTTGTAAAAATCTAATACGTGTAGGATCTTTTAATTTATACAAATTCAGCCCTACAAACCCAAGAATTGCAAGAGCTTTTCCTTGATTAATATCCAGCAATGGTGTAAAAGACACTGTTGCAATTTGAACATCTGATGTTGTCAGTGCGTAAAACAATGTAGTAATAAAACTTATTTTCATATCATAAGTAGGATTTAAAAGTGCTGATGGTGTAGAAAATGTCCACTCTGGTGATGCGAACTTAAAAGTAGACTCCCATAAACCACCACCACAACCACATAATGATCCACAAAGTAAAATAGCAACCCAACTTGTATTTAATAAAGGGTTGTCTTGTTTACCAAATCGAATATTATCAACACCTAATGAACATATTCCATTAGCACGAATCAAACCATCGACTGTTAAGAGAATTGGATCAAGAATAAACGAAGGTATAAATGTAAAAACTTGATAAGAATTTGGAAAATAAAACATTATTGAATATATCAACCTAAAATTTTAACAATATTAATTAAAATATTTAACAATAGATATTTTCTATTTAGTAAAAAAAAAACTTACAAATATGTTGGCATGGTCGTGTTTGAGGCAAGCCAACCTGGAGCCTTGCCAGTTAAAATAGCTGTAAATGTGTAATACAAAAAGAATAAAAAAAAATACATTAAAAATCAAATATATAGTAAATATTATAAAATTTGTTAATAACAAATTTACCGCTAGTTGAAGATCCTCCAACGCTCATAATCATTATAGAAAAAAAACCTTGTAGCCATGGAACTTGTGCATTCTTTAAACGAGTTTTATAATGCAAATTGATATATATTGCATGAAGTGTTACCAAAACTTTAAGAGGAAAAAAAGTTTCGTGCCAAATTAAAGTTGGTAAGGATAAAATAAATTGAGTTGAATTGAATGATTCCATTTCTTGTTTGAATTTGTTTTTTTTTTTTTTTTTAGATATCTGATATATAATTAGTCATATTATTAATATCATTGTAACATCCTATAATTAAAATCATTATATAATTGATAAAAATTTTTTACATTGTTTTACAATACGTACGTTTTAAGAACTTGCATAAAAGATAACTTATCTTTACATTAAACGTGGTTTACTAAGCAAACTTGAAGATTTCGTAATATCGATTTAATCCAACTTTATATTGATATTTATCTAGTAAAGATATATTTAAAAAAACATATAAATATATAAAACATAAATCACTAGGTCAATAAAATTCAGTTTGTTGAGTAAAAAAAAATTGAACTTATTTAGAACTGAACAACCTAAATGTAGGATACAATTTATGTTGCATAAGAAAAAGTCTAATAAAAATTAGTTACCATAACTATGATACAATGGGAGGTCTATATACATATACACCTACATCTGTACTAAGCCATAAAAAAAAAAGTTTCCAAACAGAATGATGGTTGTATTAAAAATAAATCGTATAAGATGCAAGAGATTTGGAATTGAGTATAAAAAATATTATTAAGTTCCGATAAGTGACGATAATTAGAAGCTATTTATTATTTAATAAGTAAAATGTGCTTACCCGCTTGCAACAAGTCTAAAGAATTTATTTTTAAAATTTATTTTTTTAAATAATTTCTTTTGCTTTTGTGAAACCGTTATCGGTTACACAGAAGGCTGATTATGTCGGCCAATCAAATCGCGAATTTTAATAAGATGCAAAATATATCATCCGCATTATTAAATTGTATAATAACTTTCGGAAGTTATGGTTAGGGCTAGATGTTCTACGTATATCAGTTACACGATTTGTTACACTTTTTTTGATAATGAATTTTTTTTAATTTAAACAAGTTTGACAAAAGTAGATTGTCTTAATAAAAAAAAAAAGTTTTATTTAGAAAACCTAAAAATTTTATATTTGTTATATAGTAAACTTATTTTTTTACTAAAATAATCTATTTTTGTTTTTTAGATAAAGTTGTTTAAAATAAAATTTTATATATAATTATTGTTTTATAATTAAAAATATTTTTTTATAATAATATATATTATATAAATAAATAAAATTAACTAATTTTCATCTCAGATAATAATCATCTATGATTATTATTATAATATTGTGTAATATAGCTATACAAAATAAACAAAGAAAAATATTTTTTCTTTGACTTTAGAGTTAGAGTTTAGAGCTTGTATTAGAATTAGGATTTAATAAAGTTTATAGTAAAATTTTACAAAAAATTTTTTTACTTAAATCTTCAAAAATAGTTTCATAAGTAAAATTTTGAAATAATTTTATTACAGATGATGATTACCTGTAGTATAAATTAACAAACTTCAAAATACAGAAGAGAGACTTTCAATAGTATCTAAGTAGAATATTACTTTACTAGATAATTTATATAAAGTTTATATATATATATATATATTTTTAACTTAGATAATCTTGTTTTTTATTTATTTATTTTTTATTTTTTTATTTTTTTTAACTTAGATGATCTTGCCTTTCATTTATTAAAAGAAAATATATAATATTATAATAATAATATAAACTATACTAAACTAGCTATACAACTACTCTCTTCAACTAACTCTGAACTTACTCAATTGCTTAATAGTACCTAAGTACAATCTGCTGCAATAGTATATTTTCCTTCTAAAAAGAAGATTTGCTTAAGCAAAAACTATCTTTCTAATCTGTAGAAGACTATTATACATTTATATTAAGATGACTTAATTGTTTTTAAAACTAAACTAGCTATTTTTTGTTTCTGTCTTAATCCAATTACTTATTTTGAATTCAGCTACTTTTTGAAGTCTGATTACCTTGTTTTTTTTTTTTTTTGTTTATAATTTCTTGTAAATCTTAGTTTTCTTTATTAGTATAGCTATAAGCAAAGCTATCTTTTTGTTTTTATTTCAACTTCTTTTTCTTTAAACTGCAAGTAATATTATTTCTTTTTTCTGCTCTATTATTACTTCATAGCAGAACTTCAAAGAAATTTAACTAGAAGATTTCTATGAACTAGCAAATAATCTTGTTAGCTTTGAATTCTGATTCTATAGCCTTTTTGACTTCTGCTATCAAACTAATACTTGTTAGACTACAAATAAATAGTTTTCTTTTATCAAGCTTGTTTTCATTATTCATTTCTAAAAGTACTGCTTTTAATCTTTAACTTATATTTGTGAGATTCCAATTCTTATTAAATCTGAGGTTAAGCTCTTCTAAGATAATTCTTTTTATTTTTTTCTATCTTTTGATAGATATAGTATTTAACTAAATGTTCTAGTATTTTTTCCTTTGTAAAGTATTCTATACAAGTTTTGCTCTTATATATTATTAGATCTCTTTGATAGTACAAATCTTTCATAGGTAATAGCTTGTTTATATATTTAATTCTGAATATAAATACTTTGCTTTACTTTATACTAGTATATTTTTTTTTCTTGAAATTCTTTTAATACATTCTATATATTTTTCTAATTAAGCTTGCTAGCCTCTATACTATTAGATCTGTAATTTAGTAATATTCTAATATTACTTAGATTTGCTCATATGTTTTCATAAATTATTGCTATAGTAATATTTACAAAAGATCTTAGTAGTCTTTTTACTAATTTACCTTTTCACATAGGAACTACTTCTATATTGCCTATTGTTACATTTTATACTTCTAACAAATTATCAGATCAGAAACCTTCTTTTGTAAATTTGTTTATTTCATCATTCCATTTGTCCTTACTATAGTTTTTAACCTTGATAAACTTTAGATTAATTTTTTTAAAGTTGCTATAGTCTATGATCTGATTAATCAAAATATAGTTTTTGATCTTAAAATTGCTTCTTATACTTATCATCTTTTAGGAATTCTGTATTTCTTTAATTGCAGCCTTGCTATCTGACTATATTTTAATATTTACTTAATTTAGTACTACTAGCAAAGCTATCTATATTATACTCAGCTCTGCTCAAGTTAAAAAGAGCTAATTATCTATTCTATATTTAAATCTAATACTATTACTTCTAAGATTTTCATCTGCTACAACCCAACCTAGTCTCATCTTTTTTTCTTTATGTTCTCCTTTTCTTTCTAATACTAAAGATCTATTTGTATATATTATTATCTCCTTCTTCTCTATTAATAATCTTATAATATTATCTAATTCTTTTTGTATCTCTTCATTTTTAATTACTCGCTGAATAATTGCTTCTTCTAACCTACTAAACTTATTTCTATTCTTTTTATATTTGTATTTATTTCTTCATTAAATATTTCTTTAGTTTTTTTGTATACTAATAGTAGGGTTTTAATATATAATATTTTATTACTATTATTCATCTTTTCTATTACCTGATGCTAGCTATCATTTCTTAGTCTAACTAAATAGCTTATATCATTATGTTTCCCTACTATATATCTATTATACTTTTTAGCTATCATATTTTCTTCTTCACTTGTTGCTTCTATTTGCCAGTACTCTAAACAAATATGTTTGCATTCTTTTTTAATAACTCTTCTAATACTATACTTTTTTTTCAAATATAATTTATTCCTTCTTTCTTTTATCAGAAGATATCTTTTGCTTGTTATATATTAATGTATTTTAATTAGAAGCTATACTTGATAAGCTTCTTTTATCTTTTATATATTACTATTCAGTAATATTTTCTTTTCTATGATCTTAAACCAATTTAGCTTTTGATCTTTGCTTTGAAGACTTCTAATATTTCTTATTTGCTACTAAGTTAAGAAGATATTATTTTCTCTTGAGATTAGTTGCTCAAGCACAAAGATGTTTAAATGATTACTTTCTCTATATCTTGTTATTTCCTTCTTTCCTAGCAAGCTAAGAATACTTGTACTAGCTATCTTTATGTTATCTTTATAAGTACTACTTTCTTAGGTCTGGCGATCTTAGTGTAGTAGTTAGGTTGCCAGATCGCCATGCAAGAGGTCTGGGGTTCAAATCCCACTGTCGACGAATT